TACAGTTACAGAAGAAAGAGACTCACTAATCAAGACATGTTTCAAACACACTGCTGGAACAAACCGTTGGGGGTTTCTGCAAAGAGAAGTCCTTACTGCAGGGTTTCTCTGCAGTGTAAACTCTCCTGTGTCTCTTAAGGGATGATACCTGCCCAAAGGCTTTGTGACATTTGCCCCAGCCTTCGGGGCTCTGGTAATTCGTGGGTCCAAGGTGGACTAAGCCTGAAAATAATGGGCGGGAAAGAAAAGTGAGACCAAGCAGTTTTTCCTTGTCAAGGTCTGTCTGTTGACTATAAACAAGGGGTTTTTAAAGAGAAAGGAGGAAGCAGAGAAAGAGGAAGTGGGGGAGGAATCGGTTTTTCTCCCATGTGAAGTCTCTGGTGTATATACAGAGATGTTTTTGAGATGAATAGGTATTCTTAAAACCTTTCAAAGACCTGCAGAAATATGGCATTTAAATGGTTTAGGGTTTTTCTTGGCAGTGTTAAAAAAGTTCACACATTTCTAAATAACTAGGTGTGAAACCATTGGAAGAAACTAAATTCACACATAAGTTTCTTTTGTGTCACTTGCACTTATGTTAAGGAAACTTACCCCATCACAGTTGTCTTTGATGAAGATACCTCCTAAAGTTTTTCTTTCTCAAATACTCAATAATGAGGATTTAAAATGCATGCCTTTTGTGTGTATATACATTCAAAGATTAAAACTGTAACAGTGAGTATGTACTTAATAGCTCACCAAGTTCTGAACCTTTTATGGTTTCAAAATCTTTTTCTTTAGTTTGGAATTTGGTATTATCTTAGAGGTGTGTATGATCTATAATCATTTATTGTCCTTTCCCTCTGTATCCTGGTGGATGGATAGAACACATCGATAAAGTATATAAGAACAGTGTAAGATTTCAAAATATCTATGAGCTGTGCTCTGTGGCTTTCTATTTCATGGGTCAATACAAGTTTCCTGTTTTCAACCCTTGTTCATTGTACCTCTACTTAGTGCTCAATTGCTGTTTAGTCTTAGAAGTACATAATTTTATTGTCTGGGCATGGCACTGTTCCCAGCACTCAGGAAGCAGAAGTAGGTGGATCTCTATGTGTGAGGCCAACCTGGTTTAGACAGTGAGTTCCAGTGTAGCAAGATCTACACAGAGAGTAACCTTGTCTTTAAAAAAGCACACTCAAACATCAAAGGAATTAAGTCATTTTTTCATCTACTCAGTGACAAATATGTTGTCTCAGCAAAATTTGTGTAATGCTTCTCTGATTTCTTTCCCCACCAATGTATCATCAGTGTATAGTAGGGCTACGGATTTTTTTGAGTTAATCTTGTATCCTGCCACTTTGCTGAAAGTGTTTATCAGCTGTAGGAGTTCCCTGGTAGAGTTTTTCTATGCATTAATGTAGAATATCATATCGTCTGCAAATAGTGAGAGCTTGACTTCTTCCTTTCTGATTTGTATTCTCTTGATCAGAAATCAGAGAAACATCACCCTTTATAATTGCCACAAATGACATAAAGTACCTTGGGGTAACACTAACCAAAAATGTGAAAGACCTGTACCATAAGAATTTTGAGTCTCTAAAGAAAGAAATTAAAGAAGATACCAGAAAATGGAAAGAGCTCCCCTGCTCTTGGATAGGTATGATCACCATAGTAAAAATGGCAATCTTGCCAAAAAGCAATCTACAGATTCAATGCAATCCCCATCAAAATCCCAACCCAATTCTTCACAGACCTTGAAAGAACAATTCTCAACTTTATATGGAGAAACAAAAGACCCAAGATAGACAAAACATCCCTATACAATAAAGGAACTTGTGAGGCATCACCATCCCTGACTTCAAGCTCTATTTTAATATCCGAAAATATTACAGAGCTATAGTCCTGAAAACAGCTTGGTATTGGCACAAAAATAGACAGATAGACTATTGAAAACCCTGATATTACCCCACACACCTATGAACACCTGATTTTTGATGAACAATCCAAATTTATACCATGGAACAAAGAGAACTTCTTCAACAACTGGTGCTGGCATAACTGGTTGCAGACATGTAGAAGACTGCAATTAGACCCAAGCCTATTGCCTTGCACAAAACTTAAGTCAAAATGGATCAAAGATCTCAACATAAATCCAGCTACACTGAACCTATTAGAAGACAAAGTGGGAAATACCCTTGATTTAATCGGTACAGGAGACTGCTTCATGAACATTACACCAGTGGCACAGACACTGAGGTCAGCAATTGATAAATGGGACCTCCTGAAACTGAGAAGCTTCTGTAAGGCAAAGGA